ATTTCTGTGCCGGTTTCAATCCTGCCCGTTCAGGATGAGGACTTTTGTTTAATATCAACAGTCTGCCAGGGCTTCCCCACTTGAAATAATTTGGCAGAAACGGCGAATGACCTTCTCTAAATCGCCAAATTTCAACATGAATTTATTTCACGAGCTGGTCAAGTCGGATTTAATTTACCCTGCGATGTGATGAAGCTGTGTGTGTGTTTGTAGGTCCAGTGGTTTGTAGAGAACCCCACATGCGGCCGCGTTTTCACAGCCTCATGGTCATCTCAAGGTTACCTTCCAGCAGCAGGCAGTATTGGCCCTGCTAATAGAAACTACAGATTACATCGTCCTTATAGATCGTACGTTTTCCCCTCCGACAGCTACTTGGCGGCGCTGCACCAACCGAATCAGCCCCCGTATGTTTGGATCCTGTGCTTCTATGGACTCCTCGCTGTTTCCACTCGAGAGAGTAAAGGAGTTTTATTGAATATAGAAATCCATCGAGGAAAAGGTCGGCCTTTATTGTCTGGGTGGAGATGAATAGTTTTCATACTGAGGGACGGTCGCATGCTCGTGTTCACAGTAACGATCAGCCTGAGCAGGGGCGATCAATCTGCGTTATCGCGGCGAGGCGGACGTGGAAGGAGCAGAGCGCCACATCCGAGGAGGCAGAGGGGCGCTCCTTTCCCCCCCCCCCCCCCCGGAGCCCCTGGGAGGATTCTTTTTATTTGTTGCGGTTGCACTGCGACAAAACGGAGCCGCGTGAACACGCGGAGCCTCGGACGTAAATCACCTCCGGCGCCTGATTAAAAAGAGAAACGAAGCACTTCTCCGCCGCCGAACCGAGACACTATCACTGCGTAGATGTATCGAAATCAGTTAAACACAAATTTCCCTCGAGAGGATTTGGCCCTGAACGTCTAGAAACTATCCAAGCCAAACATGAAGCAGTTCCCACCTCTTGTTTCTGACGAGCGCCTTCACCGCTTCCTGTGCTGACTCACAGAGAGGTTCTGATGCCTGATGGGACAGCCAGGCTGTCAATCATCCTCACCAACTGATCCCCTGACGCTAAAGGTCTGAGCTGTGGCGACCTGGGAGCGTTTGATCACGTGCCGCCATGACGGACAACGGCGTGGCGTTCTGAGCCCGTCAGCAAGGGGGTGAGCGCTTCATCGCGGATGTGTTTGGTCAGCTCGTTAGCCGCGTAGCCGCTTGCCCGGTTGGCTCACGATCAATCTGGTGTCCAAAAGGAGCTCATGGTTCACTCATCCGCTGCTTCTTTAAGATGTAGAAAGCTGCCCTGTAATGTGTGTGTCCATCTCAGGCAGAGCATGAACCGTGGGATGTTAGCTGGATGTAACGCTCAGCCAGTGGACCACTACTTTTAGCCCAAGCGTACCTAAACATGCAATTCCCATTACTTTAAATTAAAGTAGAACAGTAGGCATTGATCCTTTTGAACAAGCAGCAATTTAACAGAAGATTCTGTCCAATACGGTTTTCCAAGGACAAGATGTCTCGGGCTGAATTGAGTTATCACCCAGGAGGAAGCAGGGTGTGTCCCCCGTGAAACCTGGGTTGCCTAAACTTAACCAGGTGCTTCTGTTGCGTTTTTTTGCTTCGAAGGTGTCGGCATTGAACAAACCCATCAATATGTGTATAGCCCATCATTATATAATGTTTAACACACAGTACCAGTCAAAAGTTTGGACACATTTCTTCATTCAGTTCAATGAGACGGTGAGTCCAAACCTTTGACGGGTACTGTACATCTCATTATGTTTTCTTCAGGTAAGGAGAACAGAATGAATCCAACAGACCAATAAACAGGCACCGGGTGAGTGATGGTTTTAATATTTTCTGGTACATCTAAGTTAAGTTACCCAGGAGCTTTGTTGACACAGACTTAGCTAACGTTAGCTACAGCTTGATGAGTTGAGTCATTTAACACAGCGGGAGAGAACGCGACGTTGGCCAGCTAGCTAAAGCTGCGGTGGGAAATGATTATGAAATGATACCGTTTTCGAGGAGGTAGATTTTGAGGTGAGGGGACTGACGAGGCAGAAGGTAAAGTGCTCCACCGTTCTATCCATAAGCAGACCTGCCAACCTGATACTAAAATTATCTTTAGACTAGTTGACTAATGCAATATAATACATGACGAGTATTTAATGACTTGTCCCCTATTAGTTGTTGTCAATTCCCATCCCCCCCTCGTCGGTACGCAAAAAATGATCCCTGGGACAAAACCAGTAGAAAACCCTAGAGGGGTAATATCCTTCTCACCTTTTTCACCCTTGACCCGTTTTCATGCCTGAATAAATTCAAGAGGTGAAGGGTTTAGTTTCGTTGGTGTTCCTCAATCTGGTGACGGTGATTCATAAAACATTTCTTCATTTTGTTCAAAAGGTTCCAACTTCAGTAAATAGAAGAGGAGGCGTGCTGGCTAAAGGGGGAATCTACTCAAGGTCCAATCTCTAAATCTAAATTATCTCCCCTCCGGCCTCTTTGATGAAAAATGGGAGCAGGGAGAGAGAGAGAGGAGGGGGGGGGAGTATGTGCAAGTTTTAAATGTGTGTTCATCAGGTCCTGTCCAGGCCATTGACAAGCTGACCATGGTTTGGTAATTAGGCCGAAACGTGAATTGAGCCGGGGTGGGGGGCGCACTCGGGTTCCGGTAGGGAATGGAAAAGATATTTCATTTAAAGGGAGGGAATTGATTCCTGCCCGGGGGGGTTGAGAGGCCAATATCCCCAAATTTGGGTTCTTAAATTAAACTGTGTGCGAAATGAAAAAAAACCTTCCCCCCCCCCCCCCCCCCACACTTTCAACCCGCCCCCGTCTGTGAAGGGCCGGCGTACTCGATGGGAGATGAGGGAGGCGCTGTAGCAGGTAGGAAAACGCCTGTGAAAGTTCACATTAAGAAAAGCCTCTGAGGTTCCAGGCGCTCGATGTGATGAAGCGAAAACACGCCGCGGGCACGCGGGTCAGAAATGCAAAGCAGGACGCGCACACGTCACCGAGTTGTGGTGCGAGACATTTGCATCCAATGTGCATTCAGTGTAAATTGGGAGGAAGAGTTGGGGGAAGGTAAATGGGTCCCAGTTTTTAATCTGCAGAAAACGTGAAAACAAGCAGAAAATGATGAGTTTGATGTGGATTTGTGGCATTTCTTCATACCTCTGCTGCTACACATCTCTAATGGGAACAATGCGCTTTTTGTAATACCAATATTCGGTGCTCAGTTTCAAGATAACTGTTTTTCAAGATAATAGCGCCTTTTTACTTTCATCATGTTAAGTTCCTCCTATGATTTACAACTTGCTTTTTAAACAAAGTGTACATTGCTGCACTGAACTTAACGCATTACTTGAAATGCTTAGGTATTCTTTTAGTACTTCATGTCGGGTCATGAAAGCATGATTTGGTCTTAGGTTTGCAAACCTGCAATTGAGAGAAAAGAAAGTAAACAACCATAGAAGTCTATGAGAAAATGACTCTTACTTACTTACTTTTCTCTTGACTTATTCCCCAGTAAACATCGTAAACATGAGTTTATGGTCTCAATCTCTCGTTTAAATTCTTCTTCAATGCAGCATGATGTTCATTTAGTCAATTATGCTCCATTTTGACTCAAACAGACTATAAAGCAGGGAATGCTTTAGGGCGGGACTACACGATGATTGACAGGTCTCTATCATCGTGTAGTCCCGATATAGCCCCTAATATAGTAACTTTTTTCATTGGTTGCAAAAAAACAACAACACAGCGTCCGGCATAATCCAAGATGGTGGCTATGAAATAGGTGAACTCGAGGCCTGATTAGTGATGTCACCATAAGGACGCCCACTCATCAACAGTCCATTGATTTCCCATCATGCATCACAATCTATTACACTGTCTTTTTTGTAATTTGTTCAAACTCACAAACGACTGGTTATTAACAGCTTGAGCATTAAAGGGTTATTGTTCGGATCATTAAAGATATAAAAAAAATCTCTAAAACGGCCATCCTCGCACGTCTTCAACGTTTAACTCAATTGAAGGTAGTTTGTTCATCACTTGGTACCAATAATCGCACAGAAATAGAAGTTTCTATTGAGACAAAGCCCAAACGTGCTGCTATTACTGGTGAGCCCAGGATTCACCTTGTTGATGATGCATCAGGCGTCCCACAGCCAAATACCTCTGGAATCCAACTTCCCCTCTACTGACCCATCCACTACACCCCTCACAAACCTCACGTGTCCTCCGTCGTTTTTGACTATTCCTCTCTAGTGTCTTTATTTGTTAAAAAAAGAGAAGGTTTCCCATCAGGGTGAGCATGACCGCCGGATACGCATTTTGAAAAGGCTTCTCTATGAGTAAATGTTGCTTCCAGCACAATGGAAGTATGGAACATCAGGTCTAGTTTGTGGCTGCTGGCCAAGGAGCTCCACTCACGATGAGGCAGCAACGAAAACAAAAACACATATTTGAATTCTGAGAGTAAAAAAAAGAAAAGCATGTTTGGCTTGTTGTTGACAGCGTTCAGCTCGAAGTACGACCGGTGCGACTGGCATAAACTCCACACGCTTCCACACCAGAGTGTGTGTGTGTGTGTGTGTGCGTGTGTGTGTGCGTGGACAAATAAGAGCACCATGTAAATGCCACATGTCGGCGGCCTGAGACTCTCCTCACATGCCTGTTGACGCTCAGGAGGAGCACGTGGTGAACGCTAGTGGTCGCTGTTTGCCCCCCCCTTTTCCCACCCTCCACAAAACCCTGTACGGATTCGCTGTGACTTGATTCAATCCCGTGCGGGCTGACGTGCACGTGAGCATCAACGCTCGAGACAACTTTCACAGGAATTCCGCTGGACCCCCCCCCCCGTGGGGGCTTCTAAAGGGACCTCTGGGTCTCGTGCACGTCGCAAAGCAATAAAAATGCAAATTCCAACGTTATCAAAATCCACAGCATGTTACACACACATCATCATTACGGGAAGTCCATCTCATGCCTCTGCTTACCTGAAAAACACAACCGTTTCCCACAAATAGATCCACAGCGCGTTTAGTCGGCACATTTTTGCCAGTCTCATTTTGTTTGGAGGGGACGTGGGGGTTATGGGGGGAGGGGGGGTGCAGGTGTTGCTGAAAAAGAGGGGAGGGGGGTCACGCTTGAGAGGATGAATCCCTCTCCAAAAAACCCCCCCAAAAAAATCCTTTAGTGTTGGAAAAGGAGAAGGAAGAGGAGGAGAGGGGAGGGGGGGTTGTGGTTGTGGTTTATGACCTCCAAGGTGAGCCGGGAAATGTTTGTGTATGTGAGTGTGTGTGTGTGTGTGTGTTTCAAATCCCAGAGTCGCCGGTGCTGAGCCGCGGGATGCTCATGACCTCACCGGCCATGAAATCATGCTCGTGTCCGCTTCTTCGCGCCTCCAGCCGCCGCCAACGTGAAGCCGGCGGGAGAAAAAAAAAGAAAAGAGAAAAATCTTCGAAATCCAACCCCAGAGATTGTGTTCAGGACCACGGACAGAGGCAGCCGCTCACAGGCTGCTGCTAATTGAGACGCAATTAAAACCAATTACTCTTAAGTCCAGTCTGTGCGACCCACAGCGGTTACAGAGGAAATAAGACATATTCCTTCAGCAGGCGGAGAGAAGAGCGGCCGAAAGAGAAAAAGAATCACGGGCTGCTGCTGCTGCTGTCTCGGCCAGCCAAGCTGTGCACGCGTTATATTCCACACAGCGGGGAGCTTTTTCTCAGATCTGCAGGTGTGTCTCTCGCGCGCATCCCACAGGCTGCCGGAGCGTGGCTCTGGATCCGCGCGTATCGGCCGCCGTTGCGCGAGTCCCGCCGCTCGGAGAGGCAGGTGTGCCTCCTTTTCCTCTTCTCCCTCTCCTCCTTCTTTACCCCTTCCCGCTGCTGCTCGCTCTCCTCCTCGCAAGTGTCTCCCTGGGGCGAGTAGTAGTAGTAGTAGTAGTAGTAGAAGTAGTGGTGGTACTTGGCGCTGAGGCAGCACGGCTCAGCTACTCCCATTGTCTGCTGGTGCTCAAGTTGGAGACGCACCGGCGGCCGCTGCTGCGCTGCGCACCCGCTCCCATCCGGGCACCGCTTCCGTTGGAAAAGGGAACAACAGAAAATAGAAAGGAAGGAAAAGAAGGATCGTGTGCGGACCCTCTCCTCCGGGGGACGAGTGACAGTGTTATAAAAACGTAGCGAGCTGCGTGTCGGACCGACGTGGACCGTCTTCCATGGCAGGAGCGCGGCAGTGACACTGGACCCTTAAACCGTCGCACGCACGCACGCACGCACGCTCGCACGCACGCACGCACTCTCACGCGCGGAGGTTCGCCGTAGACGGAGCAGCGAGCCTCGGTGATGCTCCGACACTGAGTTTTCTTGCTGCAGTCATTTAGCAAACTCCGAAAAAACGCACCTCGCAGCCGACAGGACACGCCCACCTGGACGCTGCCATTGGCCAGCGCGGCCACCCGAGCGCGTCGCCGATTGGCCGGCGGAGGTGTCACTGGCCGAATGCGAGCTCTGCCTCTCACGCGTCGATCCCCTCGGGAGAAAACACAGTAATGCGAAGTTATTGTTGAGTTTACACCGACTGCACAGACATGTCGTGTTCTCAGAGAGAGATCTGATATAAAAGGGATTGTCTTATGCTCAGAGAAAGGAGGGTTTGTTTTCTCTGGGGAAGAAGGTAGGATCAATAGGGGATTAAAGAGAGCAGAAGAAAACCCACTGAAGTTATATTAGAAATTAATTGCTTGAAACTTATCAAGAATAAAGAAAAAATAAGTAATATAAAATAACGTGGGATATTAAAAGTTCAATTTGTAGTTTTATTTTGAGCTATGGAGTAAAATTGTTGTTCCTTTTGATTCCATCTGAGTCAGCGGGGAAAAAAAACTGAAACAGAAAAGCTTCTTGCTTTTCAACGGGACACTTTTATTTTATATAATTCAGTGTGTAGAGCAAAGTGGAATGCCAGGAAAGATGAATATTTAAACCTTCACACGGCCATTATAGCTCTTTATGTAAATTCAGGCTAAAGTGCTGTGGTGATTATTTATAGTGGCAACAGGTGGGCTTCAGTCATCGCTTGGAGTGGTGCCCCCCTCCCCCAGTAGGAAGGGGTAAACCCTGTTTACCTGATTACTGCGGGTGGGGCGACTCCAACCAACAGCTGCAAGGCCTGAAGGTGATGGTTCAATTCCCTGAAGTGGGGAAAAACTCCCAACATGCAACGTGAGCGAGCGTCATCCCCGTGTTGTGCCTGAGCCCCTTCGGGCAGACGGGGCTCGGGGAGGTTACGTCCCAGCTGGAGGCGGACATGAATCCCCTCTGAGCAGTCGCCTTTCCGTGTCGTAGGGGGGGGGGGGACGAGAGTCAATAGAGTTTAAAATGCATCTCCAGCCTTTCGGATGGCAGACGGTGGTTTGTCAGCCTGAGCTACACGACACAAGGCAACGTGCTGTAGAGAGTGAGGGGAGATTAGCTTAGCCTTCTGCTAACCTCGTCAGTCACGGCTGCTGGTGGCAGAGCTGGAGAGAAAAGACGTGTGTCTTTTGTTGCTTTGTTTTGTGTGCAGCTGTTGACAGTGCTGCAATAGAAGCACTTACTGCAGGAGAATGGAGGCATCCAAAGACTTACACGCCCCCCCCGTTAGACTCCACCTGTCACGCTTGGCCACTCGATCCAGTGTGAAAGCATCTGGTCTTTGAGTCAGTCAGCTCTCGTTGCTCGAAATGTAGTTTCACAGAGGGCAACAGCCCATAATACTCGGACCTCTTCAGCAATTTTTATGGCCTTTTCTACCATTTTGGGCTCTTTTCTACGAGAGGGGAACAAAGAGCGTCATAGTTTGAAGCACATTGCTGACCAAGCTGGATTATGTGAAGCATTTGAGTGATGACGTGTATATATGGGCTGCTGACTCACCTTTTCACCAGTTCTTATTAACAAACTGTATTTCTGTAATCAAGCCCATTGATTTCTTAATTGAGCATCTTAAAGCGTGGGTGCACGATACCATCGGCCTCTGATAGTTTTCAATGGGAAGCTTTGTAGATGTCCGGAAGGGCGTTTCGTTCCCTTTGCTCTCCTGGAACTGAGATCAGTTTTAGAAATTTGCCGTCACATTTTATTCGTCATCAGATGTCTCATGAGATGAGAAATGAATGAAAGCACGAAGGTAAAATGGTACGATAGAAGGACAATCCACTAAGTGCGGATGGGATCGGGGGTGTAGGTCAAACGAAGATGACTCTCAGTAAGGAGCGCGCTGTACGTGTCCTGTGCAAAAGCAAAATTAACGTTGACCTGTTACGTTGAAAGTTGGTACGAATGCTACGAAGGCTAGATCGTTTGAAAACGATAGAAGGCATCTTGTGGTCAGAGCTAAAAGAGCCCTGCAGCATAATGTTTAAACTGATCTCCTGGAGAGGTGAGTACCTCTGGTTGAGTCCAGAGAACAATATGTAAGTCTCCGGCTCTGGAAGGTTCACAGTCGACTGCTCCGATCGAGTCCAGGAGGCCGAGAGCAGCAGCGCGATACTTCTGTTCCGTACCTGCTCTGTGTTTATTTCCTCTCTTCCTTTATGTTCATCGCGTGAATCTCCTTCCGCTCCGTGGAATCATCTCATGCACACAAGCGGGTCGTGGCTCATCGCTTCAACGGTTCGGTCCGCCGCGTGCGCTCCGGGGGAGGACGGCGTTCAGCAGCAGGCCCTGGTAACATTTATCCATCACTAAAGGTCATCACGTCGTCTCGCAGCGCCGTCAGAGGAGGACACGAGGAGAGGAATGAACTTGAGCATTTTTCATATCGGAGCAGATAATCGATGGCTTCTGGCAGGAGGCACCGCTGTCGCCGTCGCAACGGGGCGGTGGGTATCTGAAATGGATCCGAGGTAGTGAGATGATATAACTGGAAGCACAACGACCACACCTCTCTTTCTAGCATCTCTCCGTCGCACAGTTTTCTGTTCTCCATCTCTACCGGTTCAGCCAGTGATCCCACCTGGTGAAGCTGTGGCCCAGGGGGAGCAGCTACGCTCTGTGTGCAGAGGGGCTTCTCGCACAGGGTCACGGCCGGCGTAAATAATAGAGTTAATGAAGGCTGAATTCCATTTAGCTTAGCGGTACGACGCTGGCTGATGCCTTACCGGGACACTTGAAAAGAGCAGAACCGTTGCTAATCGTATCAGTAACACCTGTGCTTTTCCTGCTCTAAGTCAGCCTGTGAAGAAAAGGCCTGTGAGAGTGAGGGTTAAGTCCTCCTGAAACATGTTCAACAAAACGTAGGAAAGAGAGAGAAATGTCGACCGTGTTCTGTCTGCACGGGGGGGGTATATGGCATTGTTCTGATGACCCGTTATTTCTCAGTGCAAATAGAGCATTTCACAGTTGGCAACACCCCAGTTGCGTTGCTGTTTATTTCTCTATGCAGTGGATGTGGGTGAAATGAGCTGACAGGAAGTAAAGGCGGGCCCCCTGCTGGTACCCGGCAGTGAAGAAACGTCCCTTTGGATTGAAAAGCCGACGGTTATGTTGAGAACTGATGCACGTTGCTGTGATGGCCCAGGACATAAAACACGGCTAATCATCATTCTCGTGCAAAATGTAAGCATCACCTGCCCGACTCCTCCTTACCCAAAGACAATTCTTTACATGGCCAATGGAAATTCCTATTTCCTTTGAGCGTGTGTGTGTGTTTGTGTCCATCTTTTAGGGGAGGCTTTTTGGAAGCACGGTGGTCGTAAAACCTCCTCGGGTTGAACTGAGCAGTGTTTTCCTCACTGAACATTCGGGGATCCGCTCGGCGCTCCTCATTAAACGCCGCTGCTCTTTTTCCTCGCGGTCAGCGACAGTCTGAGCTGCTTTTATTTATTCAGCGATTCAGTTTTTGTCTGAACACTCACAACACGGGGCCTCCTCCAGCTTTCCCTTTTACGAATGTCCCAATTACGTTAAGCTCCTATGAGGTAATTGTTCAAAGAGGGAACCGCCCTAAAATTAGCACTTTAATAAGCAGCCATCAGCGCGCCCAGTTGATTGTGTTAATAGAGTTATTTGACTTCCTGGGGATAATTGGCTAAATACATATACATTAAAAGGCTGGAGATGCATTTGCAGATAGACGGAAACACATTTGTTTGCGTTCTGAAGTTATTGAGAATGTCTGTGAAGTTGTAAACTATCCTGCACACGATGGACAGGCTGGAAAACGCTATTTCTGAAAGCCTTAACGCTGACAAATATGGATTGGAGCAGAATATTTTGCCCAGGACTTTATTGGAAATGTTTTGATCACAGCCACCGCTGGAATCCTTTATTCCAGTACAGTAGAAACAATGTCAGCGTAGCCTGCTCTTTACCTGCGCCTGAGCACGAGTACCAGGTATTAACTCGTGTTTGTAATTCCAAAGCCAACGTAATGAATGAATCCTAAAGGGTGCACGTTACAAATAATAAGGCTTTGACCTTTAAATTGAAGCCAAGACTAATTTTCAAAAAACGTGTTACAAAATAAATAAAAAAACACTACAAAACTACTCCGGTAGGTTTGGGAAGAAGGACTACGGTTTGGCTTCCAAACAAAGATATTGTTTAGGTAACTGATAAAGAGCAGCCGGTTCTCTGGGGAAACCACACAGTCTCCTGGGTTCAAGCCCTGAACGGGGGAAAGTCTTCCTATGCTCCCCCCTTCGGTGTGAACACCCCTTAGGACTCAGCAGGGCCGGCTAGCAGAGATAGCCGCTAGCTCGGCTAGCTCAGCTAGCACGGCTAGCTCTGCTCTGCATGCGACACGGCGAAGCGGCTGACCGGCTCTCCTTGATGCTCGTCTGGCATCGTCACATTGTAAATGTCCTCCTGCAACCCACACACAAACACACACACACACACACACACACACACACACACACACAGTGGCATCACCCAACCTCAACCTTGAGTTACAGCCGCTGGCAATCACATTAAGAGGGACATTTCTTCGTATTCACACGGGGGACCACGAAGGGCAATCTGCTTAATTTAGCCAGACTGACGAATAGTTCTGTGGCGCCCTCTCTCCCTCGTCACTCTCGCCCTGCCTCTCTCCGCCCCCTCCTCGCTATCCCCCGTCACTGAGTCTCCCCTTTCGCCGTCCCGGTGGGTCCGTCCCTCCGATCTAACGGAGACGTTTATGTTATGACAGCTAGAATATTTTATCCATCATTTTAACAACTCTGAAGTCAGCAAAGGTCAAAGGTTCTAAATGTGTACCCTTTATTTAATTAATTTGCATGAGCATACACAGTTCAAATGATAAAGAAATGAAAGGTTGCTTTCAAATGGTGTCCATTGAGCTCTGAAGTCTCTTGTCTCTGAAACGATTGACACGCGTGGATGTTTGTCCCTCTTCATCG